TTGCTGCAACTATTGGGCACTGTTCACATGAGCTTCAGCTTGTACAAGAGCAGTGTGTTCTGCAAGCTTTTATGGCGCATTTGCAGAGCTTTCCGCAAGCTCCAGTTTGGAAATAATAAACACAGATCTTAATGGGAGTGCTGACTACTTTAACCCCTTCGTGACTGACGACGTACAGTGTACGTCGCCAGCATCGGGGCTGTTTAAACAGACTCCCGGCGACTTTTGCCGCCGGGACTCTGTTTAAACTTGTAGAGCCGACTGTCGGCTTTACAACAGAAGCGATCCTGGCGACTTACCTGTCGCCAGATCGACTGCAGGCTTCAGTAAGCTTGTTGAAAGTATGCTGAAGCCTGTTAGCAGACAGTGAGCACTTCCATTGAGATCCGTGCTTAACATTCTCAAACTGAAACTGCTTGATCTTGCCAAAAGCTTTCTCTACACACTACTTATACCTTGTAAACCCAATTAAAGATTTTCTGGGGAGACCCCCAAAGCTAATGCATGTGAAATATGTAAATTTCAATTTGTAGCCCAAACCTGTGCTTTGAAAGAGCCTCTACATCCCACTGTAAATCACCTTTCCTCTACAGGTCACGGTGACAGGCGGAGAGGTACACACTGGTCATTGAGGGAAAGGTGTACTCCTCCCTCTCCTCATGGTGCTTACTGTCAGAAAACAAAATTAGTGACAGATTCAACTGGGTACCGGAAATTTGCCCAGGTCTGGTTAATATGTGTAGAATGGAAAAAATAAAAAAAAAGTACCTGCAGAGGTCACTCGGCTGAAGGCAGCCTTTTCCAAGGCCGGGCCCATTCAGCCTTAACGAAAGCACATTAGTGTTGGGGTAACATTCAAACCACAACTCAATGCACAGATTGCAATGGGCCATACAAATGATGGATTTAGACCTTTTAAGCAAATACAGTACCATGATGACAGATCTTCCTGTGAGTTACAAACAATATTTTACTGCAAACCTTTTTAACTGCGTGGAAATATGTTCATTAACCCAACCGTTTCTCCGATTGAAACAATGTCTGTGGGGATTGAAATCCTGGTGACCACGGGCATAGGTTGGGTGCCTAATTACAAAGGTATCACATTTTTTCATGTTAATATTTGCAGAAGATCCTTGCCAGATATGACCTGGTGTACAGTATGGAAACTCTGCCAGTAACCTGGCAGACAGCTCATGTGCCTCCCCCTGCCCATGCAATGAGAACACTACAGAGGCAGAGCCGGTATACAGACAGGGACAGTTCCTTCCCTGGGGAAGAGGGAGCCGGAGAAAGTAGTTTTAGCTCTCCTGCTCCCTATGCCATGTCTTGCCCAGACACGGCAAAGAAAACAAAGCATATCACTCCTAATGAACTAAGGGGCTTGCACCTTATGGGTACAGCATGTGTGTGTATACCTGGGAACTCAGCACAGGGATCCTGAGTCCCTTATAATGGCCACAGCAGATGAGCACAGCCAGGAACTCAGGGCAGGGATGGTGGGAGTCCCTCATAATTGGCACATCAGGTGTGTAGAGCTAGGAACTCAGGGCAGGGATGTAGGGAACCCTAATAATGGCCACAGTGGGTGTGCAAAACCAGGAACTCAGCGCAGGCATGGTAGGAATAATGGACAAAATTACTTCACTCCAGAACTTACACATAAAAGGTAGAATATCAATTTTTACACAACAATGACATGACTTTGATAACTTCACAGCAGGTAAGGGTACATGGAAAAATGACAAACCAAGAGACAAAAGGAAGAAATAAAACATAACTGGGTGGATGCGTCTTACCAGTCTTAGGTGTCAAACTCAAATCTGTGTCAGAAGAGGACGACTGTCGGCTGTAGGACTTGGAAGGTGAAAAGGAATAGGTTTGGTTTTTCAGAGGGGTAGAGGGTCCTGATGAATGAGCATTGGGGTTTAGCTCTTCACTGAAGGGAACCCTGCCAGAAGAAGGGGGAGAAATATTAAATAACCCCTTACAATGGAAGCTGGTGGAGCGCAGGAACGCCCCCGTGGAAGGTGCGCTGCAGTGAGAGGGCTCCCTCTGGTGGAGCTGGCTGGACACATTTCCCAGCATCCCATGCAGAACACGCAGCATCTCAGCGCAGTTGTCAATCAATGTGTCCCAACACCACAGGCAAAATCATCACCAAAATAAAGAGAAGCAAAAAGTAAAATAAATAAAGGAAGCAGAAACTTTCTGGAGAACAGATGACAGTGTCGCACTGATGATCGCAGCCACAACAAATTAAAAGAAATATTAATTCTTCTGCCTGTTTCCTTATCATCCAGCATTAATACCGTGCAGCTAAAATGAAAGTAAAAGCAGTTTCTAAAGCTACGTGGTCACTTACCTGCCATGACGTCCTCCATCCCCTCCACTGACAACCAACATTACGCCCTCACCTTGAGAGTTGTGCCGGGTGCACTGAGGGATCAGGAAATGAGGATTGTTTGCAGAACATATTTTGGTTCTTAATTTATATAACTTGGAACATTTTGGTTCAAAAATGAAATTTAAAAAAGGGACATTCCAATTGTTATGATTTTGTTTAGGATAGTCCAGTGGTGAGATGTCTGTTACATGTTTCCCTACCTGCAAGTCTAGCAGGAATGGTGTAAGCCTCTTACAGTATATTGTGTGCTGAACTAGAAACTCAGAGTAGGGATGGAGAAAACCCCTCATAAGGGGGCAGAGCCCAAAACTCAGCACAGAGATCTCGCCAACAGAATCCCTAAAAAGACAGAAGTGGTTTAACCCTCCAGCATCCAACAGACACAGTATTATCAGCAGGGCCCAGGAGGGCCCAGCATTCGGTGGGATTAACATTATTCTTTAAAGGATGGGGCTGAGAGCCAGTGGAGGAGAATTTGGACACTCCATAAGTCATAATTTTTAAGAAGTACCTGCCTACACTGCCTGCCTCCATCCTGCCTCTCCCCCCAGCTCCCGTACCAGTGTAGATGAGGGTGGGAACAGACACAGAGAAGTTCTGAGTGAGCCGGGAGCCAGAAGCTGTGTGAATGGGACTGTTGTGGGTCGACCGATATCCGTGGCTCGGTGGCTGGACCAGTGGAGACCTGAGTACAGTGGCAACGAGGTGGAAGAAAAGAGAACAGGGGACACAAGTTCTGGAGGTTAAAGAATGATCAAGGCAGAGATTTGGTTAGCGGAAGGAAGCCCTCCGTCCTTGAAGCATGCAAGCAGAGGATTTGGCTGGGAGGTGACTCCTGCGGCTCTAGGCAGAGACATATAAGTAGCAAGAGGGACAGAGCAGTTTAGGAACCTTCACCACACAACATACAGCAGAGAATAATTTATTATTTCTATTATTAAAGTGGAACCCCAGGCAAACAAACACCCTTAACTCCAATTATGCATTTATAAAAATATTCAAGAGACCCTGTGCCTGACCCTGTACACAAGTGGCCTGAATACTTACCAGACCAGTGGGTGGAAAATGTTTGCTTATTTAAAGAGCTCCCGACACTG